GAGTATGAGGCCTGAGATACTATAATGGAAAGTTCTCAAATCCATTCAAGTCACCCAAAGAGAGGAAAGAAATAGTGGGCCAGCAGCAATATTTGAAGAGATCGTAAGCTTTCTGAGCTTTCTAACTATATTACCTGAAATAAGAAAGAATAAGACATTTAATAAAGGATAGTCACATTTTAGTTGTATTTTTACATATATGTATATTTTACAAACCTGGAATCATTACATATATGTTTATGAGTTTTCCTCTTCAAAGATGTCCTGAATGTTTCATATATCATTAAAATTTAATAAGATTTTGGATGTGATATTTGAATGTACTATTATACTTTTATTTATATATGTATATACGTATGTGTGCTTGTTTGTATTTGTAGGTACATGTGTGTTTTGGGGTGTTGTGGGTGCATGTGCATTTGGTGGCCAGAGGATGACCTTGGGTGTCATCTTCAGTAATGTTATCCACTACCTATGAAACAGGGTCTCTATCACCTGTTAGGATAGACTGGTGACCATTGAACCCCGGTGATTCTCCTTTCTCCACCTCCCTATCATTGGGATTAAAAGTGCATGCTACCAAAACAAGCTCTTTACATTGATGCCCTGATCAAACTGAGGTCTTCATGCTTGGGAGGAAAGCACTTTACTAAGCTGTCTCTCTAGCCATCATGTTATACTTTTAATTTTCTGTAGAATATGTAGTTTACTTACATTTTAATTGTTATCAACATTATTTTAATAGTATCCTTGTAACTAAAATTTTGATATGTTTGTTTTTGTTTTGTTTTATTTTTGAGAAGAGAATTGCTTGTATTCCAAACTGGCCCTGAGCAAGACCAGCTATGTCACTGAGGATATATAACTAAGTCTTAAAATGCATCCCTGATTAATTATACTTCTCTTGGGGGATAAATTTCTAGAAATAGAACAACTGAATTGTGGCAGTTTGAATGTAGTTGGTCCCCATAAGTTCATAGGAGTGGCACTATTAGTGTGGCCTTGTTGAAGTAGGTGTGGTCTTGTTGGAGGAAGTGTGTCACTAGGGGGTGGGCTTTAAGGTCTCCTATGCTTAAGCTACACCTAATTTAGCTCACTTCCTGTTGCCTGTGGATCAAGTTGTAGCACCTTCTCCAGCACCATGTCTGCCTGCATGCTGCCATGTCCCGCCATGATGATAGTGGACTAAATCTTTGAAACTGTAAGCCACCCAATAAAATGTTTTCCTTTATAAGAGTTGCCATGATCATGGTGTCTCTTCACAAAAACAGAAACTAAGATATGGTTTAAGACTATTTTAATATTTGAGCTACTAGCTAGGTATCCTTTACCCCAAATTCTTGGGACAAGAGGTATTAAGTTTGAGGTTTTATAGTCCCTTTGTACAAGTTTTATACATCTAAAGTAACTGGGGTCGTTTACTTAAACTCAAATTCTTTGCCTTTCTGCATGACTTTGACACTCACTCCTCAGTTGAAAGTTAGGATCTGTGTTCCCTCTCTCCGAGCCCAGGTAAGTCTTTGTCATGAGTCTTTGTCACAGCCTCAAGAAATAACAGGAACAGAGGAAGTGAAGCTGCTTGACTTCCAGGTCTAGGCAGGAAAGGTAGTACAACTGCTGGCTTGGTTTTAGGACACTTGCCCTGAGAACACAGACAGTATTGTGAGGAAGCCCAGACTACAAGGAGTGCCTTCTGCAGATGTTCCTTATGACAGCCCATTGGGTCCTAGCCAACAGCTAGCATCACTGCCAGATACATGACAAGCAAGCCTGGAGGTGATTCCTGCAGCCAGATCTATTTGAGTCTTTCAACAGAAACCTTACACTTCCTGCCCACAGAAACTGTGAAGGACAATAAATGATTATTGATCTGGGCCTTTAAGTTGGAGTGAGTTATTATGCAGCCATAGTAAATTCACTCTTCTTCCCTAGCACTGCTCTTAAAAACTCTTAAAATTAAATCAAGAAACCATTTTCATCTAAAAATTAAGAAGTTTTTACTTCAGATAGAAATGATACCTTGATTTAGTTGCATTTTCTGAGTTCCTGTGAAGAATCAGTCTAGTAGGGAGACAGTGGATGGTGTGCTGAGTGTGGCTATCAGTTCAAACTCAGGAAATGGAATACAGAAATCATTATGTTTCTACTCCCAGCTTGTTCCCCTTCCCCCTCCTTACTTCTTCCCACTCCCCTCCTCCCTCTCCTCCAACAATTCAGTTCGTTAGTATGAACTTTTCACTTATCAGATCAGATATTACTTCCTTCAGCTCCCTCTCCTCAGTTCACCCTAGCTTAATAACTTAGACCAAATACTGCTACATCACTCAGAACCTATGCATAGTCGCTGTGGAAGCTGAAACATACTTTACTACTACACTACATATTAAACTTTGTAAAGTCCTCAACTACCAATAGTATCTTCTGTGTGTAGTGCATAGTATGTGCTTGATATGTGCTTGATAACTTATTATTTAGTTAGTTTTAGTTATTTTACTATTTGAGTATGGGTGTTTTGCCTACATAAGGTTTGTGTACCACAAGCATGCCTGGTGTTCAAGAAGGCCAGAAGAGGACATCAGATCCCCCAGAACTGGAGTTACAGATGGTTGTGAGCTGCCATGTGGATTCTGGGAATCTAGCCTGGGTCCTGTGCAAGAACAGTCAGTACTCTTAACCTCTGAGCCATCTCTCTAGCCCTGTTCTTGTCTTTTACACTGGTAGGGATCAAACCTGGGACCTGTGCACTAAGCAAGCACCCTGCCAGTGAGCTACATCTCCAGAAAGGCTTAAGTTTTAAAATACAATAATTGATGTTTTTAACTTTTCAAGTTAATTTTTTCCTATGCAATATTATACTTAAGTGATAACAAAAGTTGTATTTCAAAACTTACTTTCTAAGCCAGGCGTTGATGGCGCACGCCTTTAATCCCAGCACTCAGAAGGCAGAGGCAGGTGGATCTTTGTGAGTTCGAGATCAGCCTGGTCTACAAGAGCTAGTTCCAGGACAGCGTCCAAAGCCACAGAGAAACCCTGTCTCAAAAAACTGAAAAACTTACTTTCTAGTCTTGGTCTAGTTAACATTTTCATTTCCTGAACTTATTTTTCCTAGTAAATTATTTTTCAAGTAAATTTTGTTTTATATGATTAACATAGCCATATAAGCTTCTTATCTAAACCAACTTAATAATGCTAATTTGGGTGAATTTTTTTAAGATGGGTAAATTAAATTTAGAATTACACATGGATTCTTTTTTTACATAGGGAAATACTCCTTTAATATGATTATATTTTGAAGCTAATAAGAAATCATCTGACTGGATCCCTGCTCTCCTCCAGGACTCTGGAAATGGATCTCCAAGCTGGCTGACCCTCAGAAGTAAATGTCAACAGTGTTCACCCTTCAGATTTTCAGACTGCAGTTTCCTATTTTAACTTCTGTTCAGACATAATCTTAAAAATTCTTTATTGTTTTATTAGCCTGGTATTTGTTGTTCAAGCACAAATCTCTGACAGTGATATTTAAGAATAGTATCTAAAGTTTTGTAAATTTAGACACACTGAATTATGGAAGAGTTTTGTGCATGGGCTTCCTTTAATGAATAACAATATCAGAATTTGGCATTGCTAATTTTGATACTATGTTCTTTAATATCTGTTTTCTAATCTTCTAAATGATACAGTGCATGGCTTAGGTTGTTCTCAAGTTGTTAGGTTTACTACTAGAATATTCTTAAAACTAGAATATTCTTAGATTCAAATTGTATAGGAATTATAAAATGGGCAATATATTAATTACTTTTCTCATTGCTATGACTGAATACCTGACAAGTAACAATTTAAGGGAGACTTTTATTTTAGCTTACAGTTTGAGGGGACCATATATCATGGCAGAGAAGGCATAGAGGCAGGAGAAGGAGGTGTCTGATTGTATTGCATCCACAGTCAAGGAACACAGAGATCCTGACAGAGATGTTCCTTGACATTTTATTCATATTTAAATTTAAGATTATAAACTGGGCAGTAGTGCTGCACACCTTTAATCCCAGCACTCAGAAGGCAGAGGAGGTGAATCTCTGAGTCTGAGGCCAGCTTGTCTACAGAGTGACTTCCAGGACAGCCAGGCTACACAGAAAGACCTATCTTGAAAAATAAAACAAAACAAGATTTAAGATTAGAGAAAAATAGGTATATGTAAATCACCCTCAGCAGGGCCTGGCTCTTTGGGAACTCAGTAAGTAGAGTGATTTTTAATAAATAATATATACCATTTTAAAATATCTGTGTGTGTGTGTGTGTGTATACACACATATGTATACACACACATAGATACATGTATAAATAATACTGTATTTTTGTAGTATACACTCATTTTAGTAAGTAACTTTGGAATATAATGAACCAGGATTAAGAGTCAACATTTTGGGCCCTCATACTTAGTATTAGCATTTTATATTCCTGATTACATCTGTTTTTTTGGTGTTTTTTTTTTTTCAACAGAATCCCAAAACAAAAGAGCAGATTGAAAATCTCTTACGCAATGGGATGAACAAGGAATTGCGTGATCGTCTTTGTTGCCGGATGACTTTTGGGACCGCAGGACTTCGATCTGCCATGGGGGCAGGGTTTTGCTACATTAATGACCTTACAGTAATACAGTCAACACAGGAAAGTATTACAAACTGTTATATATGTTCTTTTCTCATTCTATTATTTTACTTTATAAATTAAAAGAAAACTATTTTGTTCAGGAAGGTACTGTTATAAACAAGATTTATGTTGGAAATCATTTATATATCTATAACAGTAGTTTACAACCTGTGGGTCATGTTTGGGGGGTCAAACAACCCTTTCACAGGGGTCACATATCATATATCCTGCATATCAGATATTTGTGTTATATGTTTGGGGGGTCAAACAACCCTTTCACAGGGGTCACATATCATATATCAGATATTTATGTTACGATTCATTACAGTTATGAAGTAACAATGAAATTATTTTGGTGGGGTCACCACAACATGAGGAATTATAGTAAAGGTTAGCATTAGGAAGGTTGAGAACCATTGGTCCACATCACATTCCTCCTCACAGAAGAGTTCTTTTGACTGGGTGTGTTGCACACCTTTAGTCCCTGCACTTGGGAGGGGAAGACTGAAGCTGATGGAACTCTCTGAGTTTGAGGCCAGCATAGTCTACATAACAAGTTCCAGGTGAGCCTGGGCTACAAAGTGAGATGGTGAAAATTCTGTCCTCTGGAACCTTGAAGTAAGAAACAGTCTCCCTGATTTCTTCTGAATATTCTTTCTGACACCCCACCCCCTTCCCTCATGTTTTATGTATTGTATTGGAGTTGTGGTTACTAAGTTGGTATTTCAGTAATATTAAATGTATTTGAAAATCTGAGAAATGATTGCCATCTCACATTTGTGGATTGAACAGTATTGCTCCCACATTAGTAAGCATGGCTATAAATACCAAAGCCAGTTGTGAGTCAATTAGCAGCACACTAAACATAAAAACCGGAGACTTTTAAATTGTAAATGCAGGCATTGGGACTGGGATACAGCTCAGTAGTAATGCACTTGCCTCGCCTGTTTTGAGGCCCTCAGTTCATTCTCAGCATAAAAAGGGGGCATGGAGGTGGGGCGGGGGAGGGGTGTACTTATAGTTGAAACGTGCATCAGGAGCTAATTTTCTGTTTATTTGCAACAGGGGATGTACAAATACCTGGAGAGGTGTTTTTCAGACTTCAAGCAGCGAGGCTTTGTTGTTGGGTATGACACTCGGGGTCAAGTAACTAGCAGCTGCAGCAGCCACAGGTACATAATTATTGCAAAGGTTACACTGGAATGGGGATAAAATACTTAGTTTTTTTCCTATTGGCAAGAGTTCTGAAACAAGAGACATTCATATAGAAACATGACCCCATGCTGATGCTTATTGTATGTTTTCTGAAGCTTGAGGACAGTTTTAGCTGAAACAGAAGTAAAAATGCACTTCAGAGATTAGCTTTAGATTCTATAGAAATATAAAAATAATCTTAAAATATTGCAAATTCATAGAATAGTCAGTCTTTACTTTTTTTGTATAGGCATTAAATAGGAGTAATTATGAAGCTTCTGTTCTCTTATAATTCTGCCTTAGTATCTTTTCATAAATTGATCATCATGGTACTTTTTAAGAAGGACAGTTGTACAAATGGATTTTATTTGCTTCGTTGTCCTCCAGTGTTACAGGGTTTTTGTTTTTGTGTATGTGTGTCTGGGGATGAAGCTAGGGCCTGTGCATACTAATTCAGTATGCTACCACCAAGCAACATCCCTAGCTCCTCAAACAGACAGATACACCTTACTTAACAGTTTCAAGTTAGAGCAGCAAAGCTTAAATAATCAGTAATGGTAAGAATAGGTTGGCTGGGCATGGTGGCACAATAAGGGAGGCTGAGGCAGGATTGTGAGTTTGAGGTAAACCTAGGTAACAGGTCCACCCAGATGTGGCTACTACCAAAACTCTTGCTTCAAAATTCAAAATATCTCCATTGTAAAACATTTATTATATGGAAGATTGCTTTATTAAAATTATGGGAAGGACTAAGTGAAGTATCTTTTTTTAGGCTTGCTAAACTCACTGCTGCAGTGTTGCTTGCTAAAGGTGTTCCTGTTTACCTTTTCTCAAGATATGTCCCTACACCTTTCGTAGTAAGTATGTTGTGATGGTGATTACTCAGCTGGCTGCCCTTGGGGGACTTCTTAAGACAACTGGGACTCAAATTTTGCCATACATAGGGTTCTAAGTATTGAATGTCCAGTCCAGTGAAAGTCTAATTAAAGGAAGGAAAACAGTTTTGCTTTGAGCTTTGTCTATACAAGTTGATTAGCCCATAGTCATGGTGAGATGTTTTTAACCAGAATTTATGAGGTAGAACTAAGCCCTACTTTGAGGGAGGGAAGTTTGTAAGTTTAACAAATGCAGTAGCAACCCCCCCCAAAAAAAGTTCAGATGCCAAGCTTATGCTATAATAATATATTTGTGCTAAAGCAGAGTAAAAGGAATGAAATTGTAAAAGTATGAGAAAGAAGTACATAAACTTAAAATAGTAACAGAAGATAAAACTGGGCTGGAGAAATGGCTTCAGATGCCAAGCTTGACAACATAACTTCAGTCCCTGAGGCCCACATGGCAGATACAGAGAGCCAACTCCTACAAGCTGTCCTCTGCCCTCACACATGGGCCATGGCATGAATTGCCCCAACCCTAAATAAATAAATGTAATTAAAAATTTATTAATAAAACTGTGGAAAGGATGCTGAAGATACAAGACACAAACAAAAGGCGTGGGTGATAAATACAGTAGAAACTAAGATAATCATAATATTTCTAACCGTAATTCAAGTAAATATGCAAACTTAGATGGATTAGCCAATTTCTTAGAATAACAGTTGATGCACCAAACTCGTAAGAAATAGTAAACCTGAATTAACTATAATTATTCAGCAAGTTGAGTTGGTATTTTATTATGAAGTATTCTTTTTTTTATTAATTCAAATTAGGAACAAGCTTGCTTCACATGTCAATCCCTTCTCCCTCTCCCTCCTCCCCCCCCAACATCCCACCTGCCCCTAGCCATCCCCCCTTCCACTCCCCAGGCAGGGTAAGGCCCTCAAAAGGGGCTCCCCAAAGTCTACCACATCATCCTGTGATGAAGTATTCTTAAATTTAAAATAACAAGTCCAAATGATTTTATATGCAAGCTTTATCAAATATTCAAGGAATGAATAATATCTATAGATTATTCTATTGAGTTTTTGGAAATTTATTGGGCGACTCAAAGAATCGAAGGAATTTAAATAAAAGGCTGGGCAGTGGTGGCATGCACCTTTAATCCCAGCACTTGGGAGGTAGAGGCAGGTGAATCTTTGTGAGGTCAAGGACAGCCTGGTCTACAGAGTAAGTGCTAGAACAGGCTCCAAAG